CTCATCTGCTAGTTCTTTCAGGACCTGCAGATGTATTTCATCAGGTCCCATGGACTTGTGCATCTTCAGGTTCCGCAGGTGTTCTTGAACCTGATCCTATCTAACTATGGGCAGCTCTCTATTCTCCCCGTCGCTGCCCTGGCCTTCCGTGACTCAGGGGTACAGCTCTCATCCTTGCCAGTGAAGACCGAGGCAAAAAAAGTAATGAGCACCTACGCCTTCTCCACCCTGGGATGATATGATGCTGTTATTGTAAATACTACAATAACATGATGCTGTTATTGTAAATACTACCTACTAAACAGTAGCATTATTTTTTTTCTAATGAAGAGATTCATTCTCTTCTAATGAAGAGATTTTTATTTTCAGTAGTCCTGTAAACGGTATTGAACACAATATTCTCTACATTATATTGACTTTCGATAGCAAAGCAACTTACTCATTCTGAAAAGTGGCTTTCCTAATTTTATATACTACGGAATTCATGCTTTTTTGTTGCATGTAAATGTGAAATGTTATTTTGGTGTTATTTTGGTGTAAGCTACAAAAGTTATTCTGCTTTCTGAAGAGCTCAAATATAATTCTTGAAAAAATAAATTAAAACCAGGCATTGAGTCACCCATATCACGTATGTCTTTTTTGCAGCCTTTGAGCGAATCTGATCTTGTTGATGAATTTTCAAAAGACTTTGCCTGCCCTGCACAGCCTGCAGTAGAATCCCAACCATCAAAGCCCAGCAGCACACCCAAAGTATGTCTTTCTAGTTCACTGAAGATGCTGACACTTATAGTTTTGCTGGGACTGGGTAATGCTGCTGTTTTTTTCAGGAAAAGTATTTTCTTCTGTTTCTGTGTTTTCCCCCCTTATTGATTTCAGTAGAACATGCAGTATCGGCACTTAGTCCTTAATTGAGGGGGTTCTACCTTTAAATTTAGACTTTGCTTTCTTGTTTTATACTGTATTAAAATCAAAAAGCAACCTAACAGGTACATTGTGGGTTTCTGAGCATATTCAGTAAAATGCAGTGTAATTGTTCTGTTTCAGAAACCTTCAGGTCCCGTGTCTGCAAAAACTACCAAGGATGAAGTAGTGCCTTATGCCACAGCTTGCACTGTGCAGTCTTCAGCTCTGTCAGCGGTGAGTTCAGTAAGTCTTATCTGGAGCTAAAGGAAAACTCAATGTTTACACAGTGGTATAGCGTATTGTCAAGATGTTTATTGCATATTCGTCCTCTGTAGATGTAAGCCACAGAGACTGAGTGCTTTCCAAAACAAAACAAAACAAAACAAACAAAAAAAAACCACCACCAAAAAAAACCCACGTCAAGCACAAACCAAACAGGGAACATCAGTGACCTTCTGAATAGGAAGTCAAATGGACAGTTCTAGTGGTCTACTCTAGCTCTGAATGCTCTAAAAGGGATGCTGTTTGTGAACATGATAGATTCTGCAGGAAAAGACAAATGCTACAAAAAAATCATAGCCATTCTACTGAATATTTCAAAAGACTGAATTAATGGCTGACATTCTTCATCTCTTCTCAGAATATATATGCTTCTCTTAAAAAAACACACCCCTCTTCCCTCTGGAACATTTTAGCTGGGAATAAGACTGTGGAAAGGAGAAGCCTGTTTACAGAGCAACCCTTGTCAACATTCCCTTACGCCTTGAACTCTGCAGATGCCAAGTATATGAAGACAATTGGGCATTACAGCTTTTTAGTTTACTTTTCAATTTTTACCTCAAGTACTCTGTGGCTGGTGGTGGTAGTATATGAAGAGGCTTCTTGAGCTGCAGCTGAACTCCAAAGAATTGGTTTTTACTGTATCAATACAGGTTGGTCAGGTGGCAGATGAAGCACTGGAAGCTTTGTCCAGTAGCCTTGGAAAGAGGGAGCCTGATCCACACAAGAAGAAACCTGCTGTGGATAAAGTTAAGGTAGAGAAACAATCAGAGTTTAAAAAACAGAGTTTTGATGTTGTTATCTTCAGTGTTACTGTATTTCCCCATGCAATTTAGAGATAACGTTTGCTGGTTTTTGTAAAAACAAAATTTTCTTGTGAAACCAGTTGTGTTCTGCTTAAGAAATACTAGTAGAATTTCAACACAGAGAGTACATTTTCTTAATAATTTTGCCTACTAACAGTGAAGTAATTCCTTTACCTTCTGAAGACTGCATTTGCTTAGGGTCTTGCTGC